ACTGTGTGGTGCAGTTTGCTGTAATGCTACCTTTTGATCATATTTTATTTCTGTCCGCTATATATATCGATTTAAAGCATTTACCTTCAATGGGATGTTTGCAGCTTTCTGTTTTTCGATTTTTCACTGAGTTACAACTTCATATATGTTAAACAAGAAATCGTCGCAGAATATGTATCTTATAGCTGATAGACACTTTTCATAGCTGTTCTTCATTGACCAGTAGTCATTTGAAGTTTTTCTACGATATTCTGTTTAGGGGCTTGTACGACCTTACTTTTATGCGATATGGAGGAGGGCGATGGTACAATAGTTGGTTTTGAATTCTTTGAGGTGCTGCATTCGAATCCCGAGAAGAACTGATTTTCCTTAATTGCATATTGCTTTGAGCAAGGAATCCACACAAAATTGCTTAGGGGCAGCCGTTGACTTGCTAAAAACTGAAACGGCATGATCTTCTGGTTGGGGTTATATTAGAGTTGACGAAAGGTACGGTGATATAGTCTGGTGCAAACATCTCTTAGGGCGGAAACTTTATTGAGTTTGTGTAATAGTTAACTAGTTAGTGACGTAATGCATGTTAACTGCTGTTATGAGCATGTTTTTCTTGAGGCAACATTGTAACACTGTTTTACATCCGTAAGCCGCAGTTTCACAGAGAACGTGGAGTCTTGATTTCTTTACGTAGTTTTCTTTGCTTCTAGATGCAGGAAAACAATACTGTTTTGTTGTATGCTCCGACGCAGTTTACTGATATAAATCATTCCTTAAGGCAGTCTTGCTGTAAACAAACCATAGATCTCGTAAGCCTCAAATTTGACATTATTTAGCTGTCTCTTCCAGATGAAATTCTCAACGAGTCAGGGCACTGGTACTAAGGCTTCCAAAATTTATTTCGGTAATTTTGTTTCCAAAATTTTAATTTTAATAGTTTAATACGGATTCTGGAGGTGTACCTCTTCGATTACAGTATGTGAGTCGGTTCTGCAAGCAGTTTTGAATTTCAGGGTTGCAAATTATCTGGAGAATGAACCATTTCACTTAGTATCGTTATTAGCCTCCCCACCCGTTCAGATAACGAGCTTAAAGTGGTACCAGTGTCATGGAAATTTTTTAAATGGGAACGATAATCAAGAATAGAATGTAGGTTAAATGATGTGTACCAACCGAACTAAAACTTACAAAATATACAGCCACAAGAAAGGAAAAATGAGGGGTTTTGTACAGATTTATACAAATTATTCTGATCTTCCATCGCCGCTTCTCCCCTCGGGTCGCGGAGGCAGATGGGTCAGACAGTGCTTCCAACGTTCCCGATCCTGGGCCAGAGTCTGAGCTTCGGCAAAAGACAGATGCAGCCTGGAACAGATTCCTTCCATATGTTTGCACCAGGTTAATCTTTGCCGCCCCTGGGCATTCTGCCGGTCGGATTCGCAAGAAACAGTTGCTTGGCCTTCCTTTCTGGAGTAGTTCGCAACACATGCCCAAGCCATCGCAGCTGTGACTTTTATACGGATTATAACTCAGAAATATCGCCCTGCTGGATTAATTACGAAGATTTCTTCTAGTCTGTTGATCTCAGTATATTTTCGTTCTGCGAAGAAGTTCGAATCCCAAATCTTCTATTTTCAGTTTGACTCTTCTGACAGTTCTACAGCCATATCATTTATGACTCAATTGTTAGCTGTAAAAAAGTTCTGCTACAGCTGAACATTTTCCCTCTCTCTGTTCATGCATGTTCTGTGCTATATTTTACGGACATATTGAAAGTAAATCTATATATGAGAATATTTTGTTAAGCGTCATTGATAAACAGATAGGTCATCTGCTCTAAACATTTGCAGGATGTTGGCCATCCACAAGTATTCAATATGCAGAATCTCCCTTCTATCGTCTTGGTCTGACACCCTTGCGATGAACGCGTTGCTGAAGTTTTTCAGCTTTGTCTGCCTTGCCATGATATCAGTCGGTGCACAGGAAGTCTTCAGTTGTGGTGGATTCATCAAATCAGACCTTCCGTTCGATTACAACCGAATTAAGGTAGATTTATAGTTTCGTTCATCGTCATTTACGGTGTCTTCCATTCAGGTTCAACTTTACACCGACGAGGGCAATTTGAAATATGAAACCGACTGTGCCCCAAACAATGGCTATTACATGGTACCAGTTTACGTCAAGGGAAAATACGTGATTAAGCTGGATCCGCCAAAAGGCTGGGGATTTGGTAAGTACTTTAAAATCTGAATCTATAGTTTTTTCTGTTGGTCATTCACATTTGTCAGAATAGTAGATCCAATTACAGTTAAGAATTGAAATCATACAGCGTTCAGTAGGAAATACCGTAGAACCTTTGAAGGTCACCATTTCCATACGATATTATACTGAATTTTTCACTGTATTGGCCATTTAATTCGTGTCTTTTCGTACATTACATGGCAGTTTTGAGACTTGTATCATTAAGTTGATCGGTCATAAAAACATACAGTTAAAGAACCAGAACATCACATACAGTGAAGATGCAAATAGACTTTTTACTTCTAAAACACATTATGTAAAATGCACAGGAAGCGAATACAGTAAAGCTTCAAAAATTCCGAACATGTTATTCTCATCGAAGACATGCAGGATATGATTATAATAGTAGCGAGAAGTATACGCCTGCAAGGGAAACTTCATATCACCTATAAGAGCCCACTTCTCTTCTCAAAGATTACGGTTGCGTTAACTGTGAACCTGCAGGAATCAGCTAAATGAATTATATACACTCTGTGCAGATGATAGGATAGTAAGGAGTAAAATGTGTGAATATGAAAAACGAAGAATGCACAGCAATTCTTAAAAATGTCCTAAGCTAAATGCAACTAATACGAGGTTGTTTCACGAGGGTGCCCTCTGCGTCAAAAATCTTAGCATACAAGACTCCCGGTCTATTACATAGGGATGATAGGAAAAAATGTGCAGTGAATTAATAAGTTCAGAAAATTATAAACTCTGACGTGCTACACAAGATGAGAAGATAAGGTTCGTCAAATTGAACGTCAGAGATTATGGAATAGTGGTAAAACCAGCACGATGCGATGCGCAACACGTGAGGCGATTGTGAAACAACATTACCGAGTCACTGACAACGGGCGAACTAGTTAGAAATGCGAAATCTCACGTAAACGTTTTTTGCAAACAACCATGACAGAGTTCATAAGGGACATACTAAGGGTAACTTCAATAGAGAATTCTCAGGCATGAGACTTGCTGGCTTAGAGGTTAACGCCGAAGATGGAAAGACATCGTTCAAACAGGACTGCAGTCGTTTAGAACCATCTCCTTCCTACAGGCAGTAAGATCTATCTAAAATCATTCAGCTTTGCTTGCCGTTTGTGAGAGATCATAAATTTTAGCTTGTAGCCTTTGAAGCAGAGCCTAGATGACGATTGCACGCACAGTAAGAGGAAGGTTATCAGAAAATAGGCTCTGTTCGTTCGATCATGAGTAGCGAAGTGACCCAACGACTACGTACATGACGTGATCAATACTAATTATGTCAAGAAATAGAAGGATTAAATCAATGAATTGGTTATGCGACGTTTTAAGGAACAATATGATGCTGTGTTTAGCGGCCGAAGACTTGCTTACATATCGAAGAATGTACTTTTTGACATCTCAGATATTACCATTTTTAAAGGCGACCGAGAGTACTTTATTTAAAACTGGTTTATTTATTAGTGAATTATTAAAAGCATTTAATGTTTTCTGCGTTCTTTGAAGGGTGGGATCAGCTTAACAAAAATGCTGAATAAACATGCAACAATAGTGAGATACTTTAGAAAGGTAGCATTAATTTATTTAAATAGCAGCTTCAAGGGACAGCAGAGATAGTTATTTCATTCAGATCATGCACGGCTCTTTAGATGAAGTGCTTTAAAATAAATTGCTCAAGAATTCTCATGAAGCAAAAAAATAATACAGTGTAATAGATAAAAGCACCACATGAGGTCTGCCACGCCATTGCAATTTGAGAAATTAAATTACCAATGAACTGAGCATGTTACAATCAAAAGAAATCTTTGCTGAACAGAATAGATTGTTAGACTGAGTTACAAGAGCAAGTGAGCACCCAGTATACCGACATCCAAATCGCTGCACAGATGTGCGTAAGAAGTTTGTTAGGGTAATATGGGGAAGTGCCGTAGGAGAAAGAATTTTATGTCAAAGTCATGGCTATGTTTTCATCTGGCAGCGGATGGAGGAAGGCTAATGATAGTGATAATGATAAATGTAAGATCGTTAAGTAAAATATTGTTTTCTTACGCTTTTACGTCACTACTCAGCGCTTACGAGATCTTCAGTGTATAAACGTTTGATTTGTATTAGTGAATGCAGTTTTATTTCTTTAAGAAATTTAAATATTGTACTTTTAGAGCCTGAATCATTCAAGCTAGAAGTCGATGGCCAACGCGACCCGTGCAGCAAGGGCGAGGACATTAACTTTCACTTCCGCGGTTTTATGGTGTCAGGGAAGGTGAGGTGGTGAGGCAGTTGATTGCTAGAAATGTAATTTCTTAAACTCGTTTCGATTTCTCAATAATGTTTCGAAGAAAATCAACTTTTTTCCAGTTTCATGGTTAGCAGGACGAACAGTACTGTTTCTATTTTTCTAACTAATCTGACGTTTTAGTTCGCAAATCTTGTAATCTCTGTATTTATATAGCTTAAACCATAAATATGGATATGAATC